TCAACGCTACATAGCTATATGAACATTGATGCAAATAGATAGATATCCCACTGTTTATTCAGCTCAATCTTTTTAATAAAAAATTGGACTGAATTTAATTGCTATTGGAGAAACAAACGGAAATCACCAGATTACGAGACTATATTATATTATTTTATATGGAACTTTCCAAATTAACTCTTACAATTTGTCTAAATTTTATTATTGTTATTTTTCTCAATTTGCAATCAGAAATATCTTTTTTTTTTAGCATCAACAAGGTATTAACAAAAATTGGTTTGTTTCTTGATTACTTATATTGTCTGCTGAAATTTTTTGTATTTCTTGAAACCAGTATAATTGTGAATTAACCCTCCTTTCCTTGTACAGATACACACAAATGGATGCATAAGCACCTCTTTTTAGCGATCTTTTAGTACTGTGTTCATCTTTTTGCTGTATCTTCATTGGACCAAAAACAAATAATGTTGGCCTTGGTTTTAGGCTAATATGGTAGCTATAGCAGATATAAATTCCCAGTCATCGGATCCACATGTTAATCAAGATTGCATAATGGCAACCGGATAACCCGTCAAGAGAGAGAGAGTTTGGTGACATTGGAAGAGCAAAGAGTTGCTTGTGAGCATTTTGGAGATCTAAAAGAATTTTTCATTAACATGTATTTCCAACGTCTAGGAATTGCTAGGAGGTTAGAACTATATCGCTGATCCTTCCCTTTTCCACAAAGTTAATGGAACCATTTCCCCTAATAGTACCTTTGGTTCCTCTATAAGACACCGTTAATAGCCTCCAAGTCGCTAGTTTGGTAAGAGAGGAAGTATAGGGCGCGGAATTCATGATCATATTCCAAAGCAAGCTGTTATCCTATGGGTGAACTTTGGGAATTCAACATTTGAAAGAAATAATGAGTGTACTCCTCCAACTTTTTAAGTCAATGGCAAATAACTATTAACCAAAAAAAGTGAGAGAAACCAAAACCCTGAATCTCACTAATATAACTAGGGGCCAACGCAAATTGTTCCTAATCTCAATTTTCCATCTGTGCCAACCAAGAGGCAGACACCATTGTAGGTGCCAAGCCTTTTTGTCCTACATCGTAGAGTGATAGTAGAGTTATAACAAAAGGAAAATATCTTATTATTTTCTATTTTTAACGTCTATATCTCATTAGACCCAAGAATTGAAAATATTACTTGTAAGCAAAAAGGCTCCCCATCTTTTATATCTTCCAACCCCCTAAACCTTTTTCACCATGTATTATTGACCTCAACAACTTATGAAATGAATCTCTCTCTCTCTAAAACTCTCTCTCTCTCTAAACTACTACTACTCTCTACTACTACTACTACTACTACTACTACTACTACTACTACTACTACTACTACTACTACTACTACGTACGTACGTACGTACGTACGTACGTCGTACGTCGTACGTCGTCGTACGTACGTACGTACGTACGTACGTACGTACGTAACGTACGTAACGTAACGTAACGTAACGTAACGAAACGTAACGTAA